ATGCCAGATTTTTAAAATTGCCCGAGTAGGCCCTATGACTGATTTTGGGTTTATTTGGGACATTTGTAAGTACTATAAGCACGTTTCAGTTCCCCGAGGAAAATTCAGAGAACCCAGGGACCGCCCATAGGCGCAGTAAACCATTTAACTTTTCAATGTCAAATCAAGTAAGATCCCCTCACCCTATTTCCTATCATAGAATTGAAGTTTGAATAAATAATAATACGGTATTTTTTACAAATTAAATAGATGTGCATAATTAATTATAGATTACTAATGGAGCCCGAACCAGACATTGTTCTCTATTGAATTTTGTTGATTTATTTTACACTCTAAAAGCATGATGGTATCTAATTTATCTATTTTATGATTTAAATGCATGTATTACTACCTTATCTGATCACTGTTTGATTTAAAAATTTGAGATATGATTGTATTACCAGATGCATGTTTATTTGTTTATGTGATTATATTTGGTTTGGTAATGAAGACTAAGGAAAAATAGAAAAGGGGTGTGATCAAATAAATAGATAGAATGACAGCCTTACTAGATATCCTAGGAGATGGATATCCTAGGAGATGGTGGACAGACTGGGTGCATAGAGAACCCTACTGTGAACGTTGTCTCATACCGAATAGGGTATGGAGACTTGGTAATTTGGCGTTCATACCAGACGGGGTATGAGGACGACCCACTTTACCCTCATATCGGACGAGGTATTGAGGTTTAATGTCTTGGTGTTCATCCCAGATGGAGTGTGTAGCGGGGACACCCCTATGAATCCTCATGGATACTAGTAGGCTGGTGAAATGAGAAACAGTTATAATTTGGTTTATTGTTAATGAATATGAACTTATGATATGTTTGATGTTGCTGATTGTTCATGAAGTTATGATCTGTATGGTATTATTGTCTCTATAGATTGTTTTCATAAATTCCACAATAGTAAGTGAACGGTAAATGATTTTATGATTGATAAACGAATTTGCTAAATTTAGTACTCTATTAGTTGTTTTGATTTTCTAACAACATTTACTTATACACCGGTGATATAGTGTAATATCCTTACTGGGTTAGTGTAGCTCATTCTTTATTTGATCATTTCAGATCAAAAGGACCTAGTTCTAGAGCCCGATCCGCAAGAAGATTGCGAGTAGATGCTAGATATTTTCTATTTTCTATTACTTTTCTTATTTCTCATGTTTCTTTCAGAGAATTCATTCTGTAATGTTTATTTAGTACTTTTAAGTTATTATGTAAGGGATATAAAATTTAACATTTTATTTCGCTTTCGCACTTAAATTATTATATATTTCCTTTTGGATTTCTGGGGTCATTACAGTTGGTGTCAGAGCCGCGTTTCTCGGACCCATTCCTTACACAATGATACTTAGGGAAACACTAAACTAATGAATTATCACTCAATCCGTCATTGTGAAATACAGGTACAGAGAGATGAGGAGAGGAAGACCGCCACTAAACTGAGTAGCCCGGGATGGTTTGCTTAGGGAAGATGTTAACCGGATATTTGAGATGCTGGAGAGACTCAGTGCTGTTTAGCAAGGCTGAGAGGAGAGGAGGGAGCTACCTGACCCTCCCCTGCTGCCACAGATTAAGCCACCACTGCAGTGATAGGATCCCGAGTAACCCTGATACTACCCTGCTCCTCCACAGTACCACCTAGTACCACTACAGTATGATCCGGTGCCCTAGCCACAATACCACCCGGCACCGCCACATTACAATCTGGTGCCCCCACCGTATCAGTAAGTACCACTATAGGGCCCCCCAGTTTATCCTCAGCCTGACCCAGTCCCTCTTCCACGGGACCCACCCAGTTCCTCCCACGATTGACTCAGACTACATAGAGAGGTACAAGAGACTAAACCCATCTACTTTTGCAGGGGAATCCTCTTTTGAAGATGTCGATTACTGGTTGGCAGAGATAGAGAATGCCTTCAAGACCCTAGGGGTGACTCCCGAGCAGAAGGTCACCCTTGCTACCTACATATTAGTGGGAGAAGCAGACCGCTGGTGGGAACTCAAACAAACCACCTTGCTTGTTCCAGTTACTTGGA